TTTCCTGCCTGCTCGCCCCTTCCCACGGCAGGCCCTCCCCAGGAGCCGCAGCCTGAACCCGGAGCGCCGCAGCCGGCCGCTCCCCTCCCCCACTCTCCTTTCTCTGCTGCTGGCGGGGGGAGGGGGGCACCGTTCTCCGATAGAGCAGCTATTGTGACCTTCCCCGGAGAGTGGGAACCCAGCCGAGTGTGCACCGCCGGCGGTGGCGGGGGAGGAGGCGACTGTGTGTGCAAACCTCGGGGACGGAGGGGAAATAAATAAAACTTTGCAACCTCGGGCAGTTGGGCCCTTCAGAGGGCGTTTGGTTGTGTTTAGACTCGGGCGCTTCCTAACACTAATTGCAGGCTCAAAGGGAGCAGAATTTATGGCGAAGGCCAAGGCAGCTTGTTTATAATTTATGAAGTTTTAAATGGCTGTGTCGCAGGGCCCACTCTCGCCCTGGCCTGTGGCCGCGCGGAAAGCGCCCTCCCCAGACTCCCCACCCACGCGACTTAGTGTGGCCCGTCCGAGCCATTCTCAGAAGCTTCGGGGAAGCTTTCTCCAAGAATGAGAGGGAGCCGCAGATTTGTCCCAAGAGAACTCCTCCACCCCACAGGAGAAGGTGCCTCTGGGCGGCCGCGGCTGCCTGGAGAGGGAGCCCCTAACCACGCACTTCTTTGGAGTCTTAGTGTGAGAGGAAGCTGATGTCAGCCCGGCTAGACACCGTTTAAAGTCTAATCCATGAAACCCTAAGCCGCAGATGACACTTGGGGCCTTGCAGACACCCGCAGACTCAGCAGATACTCCTGCGGTAACAGACCGCACTGGAAAACGCCTGGAGCCATGATGCATTATGTATTTTTATTACTTATGGTAGGAAGAAGAGAGGAGGGAAAACCGGGCTGAATCTAAACAGCCTGACAATTCATCTATTTACTATTTAGCCAGTTAAGAAAGATTGTTATCCCTGCAAAGCAGCAAGCTCTTCTTGGATTTCCCTAATAACTGTAAAAATAATTTCTTACAAGACAATTAGAAATCCTGCCTATAGACGCAAATTTCATAGAAAACAATTTTAAGCCTTGAAAGTGGGTAAACTATCCCTTCGGTTGAAGTCATTTATTCTTGCTGATAACTTCTACAACATGTATGTTTTAAACCTGCTTAGAAAAGGTGAAATTTAGCAAAAGGATAATCCCCTCCCGCCCCTAATCTAACCTGCCATTTTTTTTAAACGGCACAAAAGAACAAGGAAACTAAATGTTTTTTTAAGCCATCATTATTTAGCGAAACACAAACATCCAAATGGAAACGGTTGTTGTTCCACCAGAAGATTAGAAGTTAAATTATTTCCACACAATAGGAATTTCACCTCGTGTCACCAGGGATGTAGTAGGAGTTGCATTAGTTGTCAAACCAAATAGAGATGTGTGGGCCGACTTTGCTGAAATACAAAGAATTGAACCTTATCTGAAGGCGTTTTCCAAGTGCCTCCTCCCAGAGAAGTGGGTGGAAGTTGTCCACCCCTAGCTAAAGCCACGCTATTATTTACAAAATGGTTATAAATCCTCGGAGACATTTTTTGCCCATTTCGTACAAAGGAACAGGAGAAAACAAGGTGTTTATACTTATGTTCCGTTAATGAAACTTTTATTACTTTACATCATGGGGAATGCGTGTTTCCTTTAGAAATGAACCGCCAACCACTATAAAGGAAAAAGTCCTGACAGCACTTCCTAGAGACAAGGCTTAGGTGCCGGTCTCCAAATGATCATTTCTCTTCCTGCACCTTAGCCTTTTCGCAGCTCAGTTCTTCTTACGACTTCTCGTGTATCTTTTCTTTTGATTGTCAGTTTTCTTTCAAAGTTCTTTTTTATTAACACAGAAAAGTGAGCTCTGGCCTCCCCAATGTAAATGCAATCTAAAAAAAAAGTGGATTTGTGTCTAGAAAGACGGGTAGAAACAGCAAAGCAGGCACAGTACAAAGCTCTACCCAAATCACCCGCCTGGAACATTTCTAGGTTTGCATCCTCAGATTCTTCCCCCTCATGTCAGTAGCTGGGATGTAATCAAGTATCCCAGAACCAATGTGTGCACTAGATCCCAAATACATGGAAAAAACGTATTTCGAAGGTTCCGCCTATTTGGGGGTCTTCCATTGAGATTGTGGGGAAAATAAAGGCAGTGATCTACTTGCAAGGGAGTGTGATTAACACAGATACTCTTCCAACTGAGAAATTCTTTATTCTAAATATTTGTTCAAATAGTACCAGACAATTTGAAATCAATAAACTGTGTCGAGTTGGAGGGCTGTGGCTGTTTGAGAAATGAGTAACGGGTGTCGTCTGACTCTACCCATGAAGGACAATTTGCGGTCTTAATCCTTTACATTAACTACAAACACCAGCCACGGTTACAACTGTTCAAAACTACTCTCTCAGCTAGTTCAGACCAAAGGGACTAAAGAGATGAAATGTGGCCCCCGAGGCCTGGGAGCGAGTTCCTAAGCTGGCTGGAGAATTCTACAAGTATACACATAAATACATTAAGACGAGGATAAATAATCAGAGAAACGAAATGACTCGCTTCAAATAATAAATACAGATTGTTGAGTCCGATTCAATCCTTACAGGACGGGAAGGAGCATATAAATTAAGGTCTCCGCAACTCGGCTAGCCACGGGCCAGGCCCAGAGCTCTCCAGGCTCTGGTCTTTCTGCCGAGCGCGCTGCCGGCGAATCTCAGACTTACCTTCGGGACATCATTACCAGACTAGAGCCCCTGGGTCCGCAGTATTTGGCACTGTCAGGCTTACAGAGGAGAATCCTTGCGGTTGATTTATGGCGAGTCACCCAAAGGAGGACGCGCCTGGAAGGGAGGCCCAATCGCCTGCACTTCGGGCCGCTGTTGGCCCGAAACCGGGGAGGCAGCGACCAGGACAGGGCGAG